CCACCATAATGGGAAACATACTGGGAAGGGAATTCTGGAAAATGTAGTTCAGCTTAGCTACACTGATATATTTCTTCTTCTTTCTTTTTTTTTTTTTTGGGGGGGGGGAGGACCACTGGTGAATGGACCCAAGGGTGCTTAACCACTGAGCAACCACCCCATCCATCCATTCATTCATTCATTCATTTATGAATGACAGGGTCTCCTGATTACAGGAGTGCGCCACTGCGCCTAGCTATACTGATAGACATCAAAGTCATCACAGGCAGTTTCTTCTGAAGTTAAACATATAATTACCATTAAAACCCAACTAACCCGTTGCTAATGTTTACATGAGAAATGAAAATTAGATTCACGCTAAAATCAAAATACAATGTTTATGGCAACTTTATCCATAATTGCCAGAAACAACTCAAATGTCCTTCAACAGCTAAACAAATAAACAAATTGCAGTAAATTCATACAATGGAATAATACTAATCAAATGAACTACTGATACATACAACAAGACTGATGAATACCAAGTAAAAGAAGCCAAAATTGTAAGGCTACCTACTGTATGATTCCACTCATGGAATATTTAGAAAAAGGCAAACTGCAGGGCACGGTGGTGCACATCTATAATCCCAGCAATTTGGGAGGCTGGGATTGCAAGTTCAAGGCCAGCCTCGGCAACTTAGTGAGACCTTGTCTCAAAAGGGTGGAGTAGGGTGGGGGATATATCTCAGTGGTAAAGTGCTCCCCCCAAAAAAACAAAGGTGGGGGGGGCAAAAGTTAACTTTAGGGATGGAGATGAAATCAGGGGTTATGGTTTGAAGAGAACTGCCTATAAAAGGGGAGATCAACGGTAGGTTTAATGAACCGTACTGTCTTGACTGAGGCTACAAGAGTATGCATAACCTTATATTAGAAAGAATATATTTTACTGTGTGCAAATTTAAAAATAAATTACATGAAACTAATCACTAAGTATGAAAATATTGGGCTAGGATGTAGTTCAGTGGTAAAATGTGTGCTTAGCATGTACAAGGCCCTGGGTTCAACACTCACCACCTCATTCCTCCTAAAAAGTCCTGTATCTGAATATCTGAAATTCAATATCCTACTTGAATTTGTTATGTACAGGAGATGGAACCCAGGGCCTCATGCATGCTAGGCGAGCACTCTACTACTAATCTATACCCAACTTGCTTTTAAATATATAACACACCATAAATTCACATGGAATTCGAAGTAGAAAATAAAAATGATTATTTATGAGAAGTAGGATGAAACAAAAATGACCATTATGATGGTGTTACCCAGTGCGCTGATAAAGCTCAAGTACTGAGGGGAGAAAACCTAAGAGAATTTATTTTACATACACTACCTGTTAATTTCTAAAAGAATACTTATTAAAAAATTCATGTCATAGTATTTCTTTTTTTTTTTAAAGAGAGAGTGAGAGAGAGAGAGACAGAGAGAGAGAGAACTTTTAATATTTATTTTTCAGTTCTCGGCGGACACAACATCTTTGTTGGCATGTGGTGCTGAGGATCGAACCCGGGCAGCACGCATGCCAGGCGAGCGCGCTACCGCTTGAGCAACATCCCCAACCCATGTCATAGTATTTCTGACCAATACAGTGCCCCAACAACATCAGGTACATGTAATGGTAATATAGGTAATGAGAGTGAGTGTGTGTATTATGATTTCTACTAGGTTTATATACTATTTTTATAATAAGCCTAAAAACAGTACTACAGAAAACACAAAACTCTTTGAGTAGTTCAATTTCTGACATTCTATTTTGTTCACACTGAGATTTTTGACCCTGGTGGCCAATTCCAGTCTCCAAAATATAACAGATCTAAAGTGAATCAGCTCATCAACACGCGAGTTAACCACACTCTAGGGAAACACCTGCAGAGTTAAAATCTACATTTCCCAGACCCTCTTGCATCTAAGAGTCTGGATATAATCTGGGTTGCACCATAGATGCATGGGCAAGACAGACAGGAATTTTGTTACTAAAAGCACCCTGCTGATAGGGATCACAACAGAGGCAGGTAAAGAGGTAGTTTTGCAATTGGGTGATTAGGTTTCTGACCATAACACTGACAGCAGCATCTCCAGTTGGTCCATTCTGAAGTAAAGACTTTCAGAGTCATTCCCAGAAGGCCAATCTCAAGTCTGTCTTTTCACTTTTTCTAGTACTTAATATTTCTTTCTTTCTTTTTTTTTCTTGAGACAAGGTCTTACTATGCTTCCCAAGCTGGCCTCAAACTCAGATCCTCCTGCCTCTGCTTCCTGAATAGCTGAAAGTACTTAATGTTTCAATAAGCTTTCCATTCAAACAAATTAGAATAGAACAAAAGCAAAACTAACATATAACATGCTACAAATTTAAAGGAATTTTCTTAGATCATGAAAGTTAACAAAAAAATTTAACAGTTATACTTATTTTCATACAGTAATTTTTATCTCATACCAATTTCAGTCTTGCTATATTCAAGAATATTGGAAGAACATGTTGTCCCAGAGTTCTCTCCTAGTCCTGTGTTATAAATGCCTGAGAATGCCAGCTGCAAATCTCATAGTTTTGACTTTGCATCTGCTTATTTCTCCCTTTGTCTTGAGACATCCAGTTAAAAGGCCAGATAACTCCTTTAACCCTTTCATAACTTGACTAGTTAAACTAATCCTGCCCTCTACTCCCAGAATACTTGCTCATCCACTGATAGGAATTTTACATTGAAGCTGGGTATATATTTTTCAATCTCTTGATGTTACAAACTAATTCCCCCACACTAATTTTTTTTGGGGGGGACAGGGGGCGGGTATTGGGGATTGAACCCAGGAGTGCTTAACCACTGAACTACATTCCAGCCCATTTTTATTTTTCATTTTGAGACAGGTTCTTGCTAAGTTGCTCAGGGCCTCACTAAGTTACTGAGAATGGCTTTGAACTTGCACTCCTGCCTCAGCCTCCTGGGCTGCTGGGATTACTGCACTTGCAAAAACACATTAAATTCCTGTTCCAAGTTTAGTGCCTACCCAAGAGCCTGATATTATACAGGTGTAGAGCAAACTTTGAACCGAAGTGAGTTAGAGTGAACAGASTGAACGCTATACTGTAAAATGAGAGTGTTACACCCAGAGCAGGGAAAAGTAACTTTCCTTTACAGCAGTTCTCATCTTCTCCCTTATCAGACCTACAGGTTTTGTTCTTCTTTAGGAGATCTTGTTTTTAGAATTTCTATGTAGTGATATAGCTCTATTATATCAATAACTCCTACATTAATAACACTGCACTGTTGTTATTCTAACCATCTGAAGCTAAATACCACCAATGTATTTTAAGTTCTCAGCTGCACGTGCTACAAATTTAAATGACAGTATTATAACAATTTGGGTAGGGTATGAGTGAGGCTGAATTTTCAGAACAAATGTCAGTGACACTAACAGATCCAATAATTGTGTTTGAAATTTAAAATATGAACCCATATTCATAAGTAATAATTTTGCTTCAGTACAATTCAGGAGAGATGCAACAACAAAAGGCAGAATATTGGCTCACATCAAATATGTGAATAGTCTATAAAGATTCTATTTTCATCATTTAAAATACAAGAGGCTTCCATAGAAAGCTATTTATAAACTTCTGAAATAAGAATTTCTCTCATTTCAAAGAGATTTAACTACAGGYAGTAAGCCCATAAATACAAAGGAAAAAGGAAATACATAACAGAACAGATAAGATTATAAAGCATTTAAAGTGTAAAGAGAACAGATCTCAGGTGTCCTCAACATACACACAAATGGTCACTAAGTATGAAAGTAGATGAGCTAGTTTGGGGGGTAGGGGGTACAAGGTAGGTGGGGATTGTACTAGGAATCAAACCCAAGGCTTTGCAATATGCTAGGCAGGCACKATATTACTGAGCTACATCTCCAGCCCTTGGATATGTTAATTTAATTGTAGTAATCACTTTACAATGAATGTACATAAAATAATCACATTATATGCCTGGAATGTACACAATTTTTTCAACTGCATCTCAAAAAAAGCCAAAAAATGAAAAGGTCAGCCATGGTGGTACATGCCTGTAATCCCAGCAACTCAGGAGACTAAGGCAAGAGGAAGACAAGCTCAAGGCCAGCCTTGGTAACTCACGGATACTCTGTCTAAAAATTAGAAATAAAAAGGGCTGGGGATGTAGCACAGTAGTAGAGTACCCCCGGGGTTAAACCCGCAGTACCAAAAAAAAGGGGAGGGGGCTTATTAAAAGAACAAGTTTTGGGGGCTTGGGATATAGTTCAGTTGGTACAGTGCTCGCCTAATATGCACAAGGCCCTGGGTTCAATACCCAGCACTCCCCCCACCACACATACACACACACACAGGAACAAGTTTTTTTAAAACAATAAAAAATTCAAATAGGATCCTGTATATCATTAAGAAGAGTCAAAGATTGAAAACCATAAGGCAAATTCTGCTACTCTGCTTGGTGGAGGTCACTTCTATGTTAAAAGTCTATATAAAACTCAGGATCAACAATTATCAAGACAACTAGAAAAATACAGAAGAATTAAAGAAGAGCAGTAAGTCTAAACACAGAGATCAGAAATGTTTACTACAAATAGCCAGAACTGTCCATATTTTAACCTGGAACTCCAAGAGTTATTGGAGGTAAATTCATGCCACCAAGGTTACACCAAGAACTCAGGAACTCCTGCCACTGGATCTTACTCACAATTACTGCCCAGAACAATTCRCTCTGCAAATTTCTCACTAAACTAGCTTTAGTTCTATTTTGAGCAAATAAAAATCACTATGTAGAGATTGAGCGTATAGCTCAGTRGTAGATCACATGCTTAGCATGCTTAAAGCCCAGGGTTCAATCCCCAACACCAACAAAAACTTGATCATGTCAAAGGCTGCTAAATTAATACCAAATTTCTAAAACACAAAATATTCCCATTCTGACATTTTATTTTATTCACAATTTTCTACTTACAAAGTCTTGACGTATGTCATTGAAGTCCTTGCCATATTTTTCTAGTGCCTCTTCAAATAAGCTAGCTTCAGAGGCCGACCATTCTTCCATTTCATCTCTGCATAAAACAGGTCCTCCAAGTGGTACTAAGACACTAATTGCACTGCTCAAGTCATAGCTGTGTCTATACAACGTATCCATAGCATGAAACTTGAGGAAAGAAAGAAAACAAACAGGAAATGTCAATAAGATATGCACATTTCCTAGATTATCTAGGAATAGAAACACTAAAATGCATGATAATGCTTAATTAATAATATACCAAGGCAATAACTATTTTTAATAACAATATTAAACAATAAAAAAAGCAGATTACTGAATAATTATTCAAAATATCATTTGTTGCATGAAATAAATGTTGACTCACCTTTTTAAGATGTGTATTTTCAAAAACATGTCCATTTGTTATAGCAACCTAACCATGAAGATCCAGGATGTTCAAGGTATTAAATTGGGAACCCAGAAAATTTCCTCACCTTTTTGGTTCAAAATGCTAAAATCATTTCAGTCATATTGTGTAAGGTTGGTATAGCATTTCTTGACCAGGGTAAAAAGGACTATACATCAGAGAGTAAGAAAAAACATTCTCAGGTTGGATTAAGAGARTAATGTACTAAGAACAAGAGATGGAAAGAAAACAGTGGAATAAGCATAATGGTTAAGACAAATCAAAATTACATATTCATGTTAAACAGACAGAACAAAACTACAAACCCATGATAGTACAGTGCTATGGTTTGGGTCTGAAATGCCCTCTCAAAACCCAAGCTCTACGAGTTCTGGATGCCAGTTTGTGGCACTACTGGGAGGTTACGTGGCCCTTAGGAAGCGGGTTTACTTGGAGGAAGTAAGTCACTGGGGGCATGCAGTTTAATTTTATATTCTGTCCCTGATTCTGTGTTCCCTCCCTCTTTTGGCTTCGACCTGCCACGAAGTGAACAGCTTTGCTCCTTCACAGCCTTCCCCGATGAGGTTCTGCYTCACTACAGGCCTAAGAACACTGGAGTCAGCGGACCATGGGCTCAAACCTCTTAAAACCAGGAGCCAAACAAAATTAATCTTTCCTCCTTTCAGTTAACTACCTCGGGTATGCTGGGGGCAGGGATGAAATGCTGACTAATACAGACGGTGAATTGCTTAAGATTTTGAAAGACCATGAACAGATGACCAGGCCTGCTTAGAATAGCTAGGCTGGTGTATATATTTCAAGAAAGAGTGATTTGAAAGGAGAAACATTATATTAGGACATACAAGCAGCTTTCTGCAAAAGTACCTTGTCTAGTTTACTTTAAAAAGCATTTCTCTCCAATTAATGCAATGAATAAACTCAGTTCCATAACTTCAGATTTTGAAAAACCTTCCGTGGGCTTTCTACTACAGAAAAAGAGATTCTTTCATGTAACATGTACAAATGCTCTGCTATTTATCAAAATCTGACTGGGGATAGTTTCAAATAGGGATGGTTTCACTTCTACATAATAATAAGCCTCTCAAATTTTACTTTTTAAGTAACCCCAGCCCCTATTTTAAGTGATTTCTAAATATATTGTAGGGGATTGTGTTGAGTCCCCTACTGGTACAAGAGCATAAAGTAAACTCAAATATCTGAATCCCACAAAACGAAAGCCAAGAAGAGATTTCATTAAATGTCCCAGTTGTAATCACAGCTAAAGACACCAATCATGTGTAATTTTTGTTGTTGTTGTAGATGTCACAACCATAAAATAAAAAGTTCCAAGTGGACCTTTCTCACCCTTTAGCAGCACAGGAATGGAAAAATATTAGAAATGACCTTGATTCCTTTGTTTGTGCTCTGCAAATTTCAGAATCAATTAAATTCTGATTTTCTACCTAACCTCACTAAATAGACGGCTTAGCTATAGTATATATATTTGTACACTTTTTTATTTTTATGTTTTTAGTTGTAGGTGGACACAACATCTTTATTTTGTTTGTTTATTTTTATGTGGTGCTGAGGATTGAACCAAGTGCCTCACACTTGCTAGGCAAGCACTCTACCAGTGAGCCACAACCCCAGTCCCTATTTGTACACTTTTATATCATCTCTGAAGCTAATTATTGTTTCTGAGTAGCTGACCTATAAAAATGAAAAGACCAACAGCATTTAGAGATTCCTTCATTTAGCAATATATTCCCATAAATGTTTACTTATAATTTCCAAAATTTACAACTGGAAACAAAATGAAAAGATTAAATAGTATTAAAGTCAATAATTAGGGCTGGGGATGTGGCTCAAGCGGTAGCGCGCTCGCCTGGCATGCCCGGGTTCGATCCTCAGCACCACATACAAACAAAGATGTTGTGTCCGCCGAGAACTAAAAAAATAAATAAATATTAAAAATTCTCTCTC